AGATGAGCTGGGGGACATGGCACACAGTTCCTATTGACTCGCCCTGTCCATGGAAAAGCTAGCCCAGCACAAGCCAGAAGGGGGTGTTCCTTTGCCTGTCTGGATGCTCTGGGTTGAGCTGGAATGATTCTGGTTGAGGATGGTAGCCCCTGCAAACATGCTAGCCTCTAGATGCATGTGTGGTGTGGTGACAGGACTCTTTTAGCACTGTTGGGAATTCTGAAGCACTTCTGGAAGGTTTAGCCTCGTGTTTGTGCTTGGGGAGCGGGACAGACATAGATGCTGTCGGGGAGGGAAAGAAACTATTGGGAGTCCAACCTCTAGTCTAGACTCTGGCTGTTCCTGGGCCACCTGAAAGCTCCGAGGAGTGGAGAAGCAAGTGCAAGTGCAGGGAAGGATGGATCTTGTCTTGAGGACTAGGGGGTTGGTGTGAGAAACTGGAGGGCCTCTGGGCTTGCATAAGGGACATTTCAGCTGGCTCCCACCTTCTCCAGGAAACCTTCTCTGAGTCAGCCTCTGCCAACAAGCATGGGATGTGGGATGCAAGGAACCTAACAGCTCGCCTCTTGAGGGTCCCTTGTTGTGCAGATGGAGTGGGAAAGACTCCGAGAAGACGATAGGAATATTTCAGAAGGCAAGCTGGTTCCATGACACCAAGCTGTTTCCCTTTCCCACCCTCATGGTCTGGACTTAACTCTTGTTGTGGCTTACTTTTCTCACTGATTCTCATTCTTACCATTTGCTGCCTCCTCCTCCCACGTCCCAGAAACCCCGCTTAGCATTAAGCCTCTGCCTCTTGCCTCAGCCTGTGTGGTTTGCTCAACCAGACCTAGGACTCTCTTTCTAGTCAGTTCTCAGGCCTTTTGTTTGTTACTGGAATCTCAACTTCCAAAAGGTGGGTACAGTGTTGCCAGAGCCCCTAATTCCAACCATGGAGACAGAAGACTTAGATTCTGGATCAACTTCTGCTTGGGGTAACATAGAAGTGAATGGCACTTCTACTTACATACCTCAGGGTCATCTCATTCATTCATCCATTCATTCATTCATTCATTCATTCATTCATCCAATTATTCATTTAACAGGTAAGGATGAGCATCTTCTGTTCCAGGGGTCAACTTGGACTAAGAGATGACAGTGTGCTGTGTGAGCAGAGTGTGAGGATGAAGTTCCAGGGTACTGTGAGAGCTTAAGACAGAGGGCTCAAGCAGCTGGATGATGCTTTGGGGAGCTTAGCCACAAGGAAGAGTCGTCACCATAACCTCACTAGAACTCTGAGGCTCTCTTGCTTCCTGTGTGCACCTCTACTTATCTGTCTGCCAAATGGAACTGAAGGAGTATCTTTTCTTTCCAGAAAGCCCTGAGTATGAGTGGATTGTCAAACTTCTACAGAAGTAGCTGCTTAATTCATTCATTAATTTATTTTTGGTGGTGCTGGATTAACGCTAGGCAAATGCTTTATCTTTGAGCTATATCTCAGTCAACAGAGTTGCCTTTAGCTAAAGTGTGCTCATGGCTCAGTATGGTAGGCTAATAGCTTTCCTTTCTATCAAGTATAAATCTTTACCACTAATGTGTTCTTGCCTCAGGCCCATGTGGTTCTGAATGCGCTTCAGCAGCTTGAAGGCTGAGTGTCCTGGATGTCCCAACGCTCAGAGCAACAGATTTGTGTCTCTGACCCTGCCTGCCTTCTTTCTGTCTGGATTTTGCTTCCTGTGGGGCAGCTGGTGGCTGCCCTAGAAGGCATGTTCAGGTTCTGCAAGGTTCCGTACTGCTCCCAAGTCTCCAAGAGTGATTGAAACAAAAACCATGCTGGAATGTTATGAGCCTAGAGAGCCAGGATATTGCAACCAGGCAATTAGAGCAACAGAATGCTGGGATCCAAGGATGTGGGGTGTCAGAAGTTCAGATTGTATTCATACTTTAGTGTGCGAGGGCCACAGAAACTGATAACTTCCAACTGTTGGGGTTGGAAATGAAGGGGCCCTAAAGGCTACCTGTCCTCCTGCCCCACACTCCAACTACTGGTGACTCATGCTTTCAACTCAGCTCCTTCAGTTCTGAATCACACATTTTATTATTGAAAAAAAGATGCTACGAGATTCTTGGATGGCTGAACAAATAAACATCCTGAGAAAATCTATTACTCTAGAATGAAGGATAAGATAACCATTTCCTCCTAGTGCCTAGTAAGCCCTCTCTCACTCGTGAGATGCCCTGGGACTGAATGGAATATACCCAATTCTTTATGATTTACTTCACCATATCTTTGTACAGAATCTGCCAGGTGCTAGTAATTTTGAGTTTGTGGACCCTGTCTTGGTATAGTTCACATGCACAGGGTGGTCACAGAGCAGGGAGTGTGCAGGTAAAATCAGGAGGCATCTGGGTACAGTGTCCATCTTTAAATCCTAGCTGTTGGGTGTTGCTAGAGAAACCATTTGCAACTCCATAGGGTTATGGGCCTTCATTGTCAGCAGAGAGAACAAGTACCTGGCAGGCACCTGTTGGAATCCTGATCCTCAGCAGCTATTACGGATCAGTCAAAGCTCTTCTTTGCTGGGCTCTGATGTGTTCTTTACAGCACCACACTCTAGGCACCCACTAGCAATCAACCACAAACAGTCCGAGTTAATCTACTCTAACTTCCTGTACTGGTTAAGTTTGTGATCAGCTGTTCTTGTATTCATATCTAATGCTTTCCCCTCTTCAAACCAAGAGCCTTTTTTTTGTCCTCCTTCTCAACTTTACCTTCTAGCAGAAAGAGCAGACCTGGCTAGAAGCCATCAGCTACCTGCTCATACACACTTGAGGTGAGAAGGTGCCCTCTTCTGTCTGGAGACCAACTCTCTCCCCTTGCTCCAGCCCTCCTTTCCTACCTGCTTCCATACTGGCAGCCTCAGCCATCTCACTTAGGTAATGAGGCTTTAAAAGGGCCACAAAAGTTGCCTTGAACTTGGCAGCACCTCTTCCCTCGTTTCTTTTATTATGCCAAACGATTTCCCATATAAAAGCAATGTGGATGGATGTGGGGCTAAATGCAGTTACCAGTTTTCAGTGTTGTTGCCAAGTGAGGACTTTGAGATCCCTCTCTGCTTCTGTCTCTACCAGTTGTTTGCAGGATGCTTTAATTTGCAAAGGTGCCTGAGTGGATCATTGTGCCCTGGAGGGGCATCCTGCTCTCTTACTGGCCTCCCTCAGTGACTGTGCTCTCTGGAGGTTCCTGCAAGTCTGAGGAACCAGGGACTAGGTGACCTCAGGGGCGGCCCTTCTGCAGTCAGCTAAGGCCATGATGTACAGAATCACTGCCCAGAGGCAGCTGTGTGGTAAGTGAGAGGAGAGGTGCTGAGGGGACCACTTCCTTAGAGAGGTCCTCACAGCTACCTGGCTCACACCAGACCCCATGCATATATCCTGCAAGAGGGAGAGCGGTCCTCCATCTCCATGTATTAGTCTAGGTTTTGTTCCTGCAGGGTCCTCCAGGAGGCCCTTCCAGATCCCCCGTGAGACCTCACCTGTCTCCTACACCTGTGCCAGAATCCTAGACAGCCTGTAATCCAAGACAGTTCAAGCCAAAGCCAGCCTCCCCCACCCGCCCCACTGTCTAAGTGAGTAAACTGAGGTTGTAAGAAGGCCACAGTGGGTCATAGCAGAGCCCCTGTGAATCCAGAGCTCTTTCTGTGCAGCTTCTGTGGCCTTAATGAGCTGTCTTCAAAGGGCCTGTATCCACGACGGAGCTCCTCCCACCAGCCTTGCTGCAATGGAGGTTCAGAAGGGGGAAGAACAGCCTGGATAAATATACCGCTGGCTCTTGCCCTTGACATACTTGGAGCTGAATGGGGGTAGGGGAGAGAAAGAGATAGACAGTAGACAGCCCCATTACAAAGTCAGGATGTCCAGAGAGGTCTGTGTGGATTGGACTGACTTCTCGGCCTGGAGGGTAAAGGCCACGGAAAGAGAAGGCAGAGCAGCAGATTGTTCAACATATCTATAAGCTGCCATCTTCTTTGTTTGAGACAGGGTCTCACTACATAGCTCTGGCTGGCCTTGAACTGTCTAAGTAGACCAGGCTGGCCTCAGAGATCTGCCTGCCTCTCTCTCCAAAGTGCTTGGATTATGGGTGTACATCATCACACCAAGCTGTAAGCTATCTCTTAATTCTCATAAAACACAGATGGATTCCCCAAATTCAAGTGGCAAGAAGCAAATGGTTATTGTAAATCACTGAGCAAAAGCTGACTAACAAAGAACTCAAATCCAAAATCCCAGCGCCAATGCAGCCATTGTAGGGACAGCCACAGAGAAAGGCAGGAAGGGTGAGGAGGAGCAGAGAAGGAAGAGGGACCCCAAGGAACCATGTATAGACATCTTTAGTTCCCTTTGCAGGAGAAGAAAGATCCCCAGAAACATTTAGCATGTGCCCTGTGTTGCCATAGTGATGATTAAGTTCATTTTAATGGTGATGATGATGATTGCAGCTGCCACTCTGGATTCCTAAGATATGGCATGTTATTTAAATGTCACATATCCTTACAACTACTCTACAACATACATACTTATCAAATAGTTATTGCTATCCTTCCCATTAGCAGAAGAGCAAATTGGAGCCTTGGGAAAGTACCAGCTGGGGAGACATGACACTTGGCCCGGTTGAAGTTGGAGTCAAAACTGTGGGCTGTCTAAGTCCCTCTCCTTCACCCTTGAGGTCACAGGGCCATTATGATTAGCCCTGGTTCTAAGTTGGGTGGGTCCAGGCTGGGTTGGGCACTGGAGCATTGTTTTGGGCTCTCATAAGTCCACCTGGCACTTGGAGGGGCTGTAAGAGTTACCATGGATGGGGCAGGGGCTGCTTCCCTTGCCAAGGAAGATGCTATGAGAGAATACTTGGTCAGAAGCTGGGGAAGTGCTAGGTCCTAGCTCTGCTCCTGGGTACCAGGTGGCTTTCCTGCCCTCTTCTGGGCCTCAGCTTCTCCCTTGACAAGTAGAGGTTGGGGCCAAACCTGCTCCGAAGGCAAAGAAGCAGATCTTGTCCTGATTCTCCCGCAGCAGCGCCATGACTCTCTTCCCCATACGCTCATTCCTCTTGTAGATGAGCTCCTGGCGGAAGTAGCTGTCAATCTCCTGGGCTGTCACCTGCTCATGAGGCGGCAGGGTGGTGTTGATGAAATTGGGTAGCTGCAACGGTAAGACAGAAGCCATCTTAGGTCTTGATGGAGGAGGGCACATGTCAAATAGGACTGGCATAGTGCCGGTAGGACTGGCATCTTACCTTTCTGAGGTCAGCAGGCTCTGTGTTTCCTGTTTCATCAACCCTCAAACCCTCAAAGATGAGCATTGTTCTGGTTTTACTTGTGAAGCAAGCCCGAGAGGGAAAGATCCTGAGACATGCGCAATCACAGCCCAGCTGTATGCCCTGATGGTAAGACTCCCACACAGGCCTGCTTGGTATTTCTCTAGAGGCTGGGGCCCAGGAGGTTGGGGCCATGCTGAGTTCCTTATGTTCTTTCTTCAACTCTGAGCCCAGCATGACCTGGACAAGGAACCCAGTTCAGCAAGGGGGTCTAGATAACAGGTATGGCAAGAAGGCCAGAGAGCTTAGGGGTCAGGGAGACTTGAGTTTTGGATTCAAATCTGATGCTGGGTATACTGAACAAGCTACTCCACTTGTAAAAGCTGAGCCCTGGCTCTCATTTGTAGGAAGGGCTAATGTGCCGGGAGGGACTAAATGAGATGATGGGCACTGCTGGGCTCCACTCGGCCCTCTGCTCTACAGAGATGAGCAGGACAGTACTTTTGGCTTTTCCCATGTCTGAGCTGCTGTCTGCCCATCTGGCTTCAGACCTTTGTCTTTTCTTGAAAACTATTCCAGGATCACAGATCCTTCCAGGCGGATGCTTGTGGGATAAGCTGTCTAGGGATTCTCCATCCTTATAGTTCTGGGTTCTTTATCCTCATTCTTCTCCACATCCAGCCTGAGGCCTGGCAACAGCTTTGCTGATGTGCTTTTGAGCTAGGCAGAGGGATCCCTGAGCTCAAGGATGAAGTTATGCCATTCCAAGTCCCCAGGGCCTGGTACAAAGAAGATGCCTATCGGGGATCCAACCTTGAATATATGATTGCACTACCCCTTTTGGATTACTGTGTTCTTTTTTTTTTTTTTTTTTTTTTTTTTTTTTTTTTTTTTTTTGGTTTTTCGAGACAGGGTTTCTCTGTGTAGCTTTGCGCCTTTCCTGGAACTCACTTGGTAGTCCAGGCTGGCCTCGAACTCACAGAGATCCGCCTGGCTCTGCCTCCCGAGTGCTGGGATTAAAGGCGTGCGCCACCACCGCCCGGCGATTGCTGTGTTCTTATCATTTCATCTGTCTGGCCTGGATGGTGGGTCCAGGCATTCTAGTACCATCTCCTCCAACACACGCATGGAGGCTGCTTCGGAAACTAAGGCAATGGATCCAAACACACTATCTTTCCTCTCAGTCTACCCATGCCAGAACATCCTCCAAGCTCTTGCTCATAGGACATCTTCCATTTCTCATTGCCTTCTACCCAAGCACAAAGCACAAAATACCAGTCCTGACTGAAAGATGAGGGGAGACTGCGCCTGAGGATACCAACTTCCTAGAGATCTTAGTCCTTCAGAAGAGCCAATTGTTAGCCCAGTCACATGGCTTCTTTACAGCCACTGTTGAGTTGTCAACACCCTTTCTGGGGAAGATCGGGGAGTCGACAGAGACTGACTCTGCATCTGGTACGCTGGCCAAGGACCAGTGGGTGAAATGTGTGTAAGAGCACCTGCACCATACGGCTCCTTTGTCCGAGAGGCCAGACTCACTGTTCTGGGATGAAGATGGAAACGATGTGACAGTCTCAACGTGAGCAGTGCACGATGTGTACAATGTACATAGCAGCCCTGCTCGTGCCTAGGCCGGTACAGAGCTGGCACCCAGAGACTGCTTGTTTGGCAGATAGACAAATGAAGGAACCTGTGTTCTTACCCTCCTCCACACTGGAAGGGTTGACTGGCAGCCCTGACGAAATAGGTCACACTTGACTTGACGCAGTTACAGGAGACGCCGGAGACTTTGGAGTCAGGGTGGAGAACAGAGAGACCATGACTAGAAGGGCTGTTTCTGGAAACACGCCTCTCAAAGGCCTCTCCCCATTTAGGGGGTATGGGAAAGGACAGGAGGCAATGCTTTACTCCACTTAAGTGTTTAGTCAGTGAGCAAGTGGCCAGACGAGCGGGATGAGAGGCAGTTGAGGAAGAGTGGTGATGAGCACAGGTCCTGCAGTCCCACAGTCCAAGCTCTTTCATTGCCTGGTGCTCACTAGGTTATGGTCTCTCTGAGTCTCACATTCCTCATTGGCAACAGGGTGACATGCATGGCTTACTGCACGGATTCAATGAGGCCAGCTTTGCTAGCACGGTCTGGCACTGTGGAAATACTGAGTTATATACCTCATTGTGCACTGTCACCTTCCCATGTGATGTCACAGGTTACTAGAGAAGGGTGGCCTCCCGAGATGACAGATGGTCATTAGAATCACCAGAGAGACGTGAAGACAGAGGTCTGACTCCCCTCCTCCTCCCATGGATTATGGGACCCGTGGGCACGTGCCCTTCCTTCCTGTATGCTTACTGCCCACAAGGCGCACCCGAAAGACTCCCCAGGGGACTGAAGCTATTTACAAGGACAAGAAAAAGAGTAAAATTTCCAAACCATGAAGAAGTGGGGCTGGACATGCAGCTTCCTCTAGGCTTCCTAGCCACAGGCTAGCACTCACTGTGTGTCTCATGCTGATGGGCCTTGGCTCCGCGCCAAGGATGGGGCCTGGGTTTGGGCCAGGGCTGGGGGGAGAGGCAAATTAATGATGTCATTAGACTTGTCTGGGGCCTTAAATCTCCCATGACAAGTTTAAGTGCAGGGCATATGATAACATTTTGAAGAGATCATGGAATGTCCCTAGAGCCCTAGAGCGATTGGTGTATGATGGGGTGACAAGGAGATGGACCAGGCAGGACTGCGGTGAGGTCATGGGGGAGGGATTCAGTGTAGGCTCCCCTGACCTGTGGCTGGGGATGGCCAAGTGCCTAGGTCTGTTGATAATACTCAACCACCCACTTCCCTGTACCCACCCACCCAGTAGATGACCTCTGAGAATCTCCCTAGGTCCTGCCCTGTGTCAGGCTAGGGGACATCCCAGCACCCTCAGGCTGGGTCTGCTGTCTCTCCTGAGAGTACCAGCCCAGTAGAGGAGTCAGCCATGCTTGTAAGAATACTGTAGGGGTATGTAGTTGGAGAGGGTGAGCAGGGGAACAGAGTTCACAGAAGGTCCCTGATGTGTGACTATGTGGTATGGTTTGTCCAGGTCAGCCTAGGCTTGTGGTTGGATGAGATTGCTGCACTGCTGTCAATTACCTTGACCCTGAGTAATATTCTGCTGTCAAAAGTGTCTGGGTTTGGGTAAGACATATATGTGGTTACTGTGCCCCTCAGGGAGCTAGGGACCCCAGGCTTCCCAGGCAGGACTTCTGTGTGGCCCTCGCACTATGGACACTAACAAGATCAGTGACCTGGAGCTGCAGAGACAAGGCACAATCATTGCTGAGGGTGGGGTGGGGGTGGAATGGGGAGGTGTACAGTTAGAGGGTAAGAAGCACTGGACCTCAGGCACTCACTTGTTCCACTCTGGCCTCCAAAGGCTACCTTATCACCCTCCCCACTGCAGCCAGAGGCGTCTTCCTGACTGCAGTGCTCCCTGACTCACACTCCCGGGGGCGGGGGGTCCCCACTCCTTAGCTGCATTCCCACCTTATACTTGTTCTCTGCTTTGCAAACCACGCCCCCTGGAAACACCCACCAGCCCCTACTGTCCGCTGTCATTCTCACCTAGGAAGCTCCGCTGACAAGCTCAGGAACTACTTTATGATTACCCCCGAAGCCTTTCTGACTGCATCAGGGTGACGAGCCCTAAATCTCTAGACTCCCCAGACCTTGAGGCTGAAAGGCTTCTGACTGCAGATGTGGCCCCACATAACAATATGTGCAAGGGCAGGGTTCAGCCTTGTGACCCTGGCTTTTCTGCACCTTGGGGCAGGTTTCCTGTGTACCTCATATGCAGCCTGGACTATGACTCAAATCTGGGTGGACTGGACCACTTGCTCTGCTGGGGGACATGACTGCTGTCATCAGAGATCAGCAGTGCTTCTGGGCAGAGGCTCAAAGGAAATCTGAACTGACCATTCCCCAAGCTCACTCCATGCCTTTCTTGCTCAGCTTAGAGTCAGCCACAGGCTTTGTCCTGTCCACCCCTTCTTCCTCAGGCCAGCCACTTCACAGCCAGTTGTCCAACTTACAAGTAAGACCTCTTTGTTGTGGAATCTACCCCCCCCCCCCCCCGAACCAAACCTGCCCCGTTGGTAGATTCAGAGTGAGGCTCACCAGAAGTGGGGTTCTGGTGACAGTCTCATCAGTTCATGGTATCAGGCTCCTCTCCTCCCTCCTCCACCATGCGACTAGAGCCCTCAGACCTGGAGCCTCCCACAGTAAGGGCTGGGTTCCTTCTTCCATTCTCTAAGCTTCCATAAGTACATGATGTACCTCCAGTGTTATGCGTGACAGTCACTCACTGGCAAGCACTCTGCACCAGGCGCCAAGGGGTCTCTCCAGAGCAGTGGGGACCAAGGGATGAGCAGCTCATCCCTGCCCTCAGGGAGCCTGTGTCTGGGGGTTGGGTGGCAAGCACAGACAGAACATTGTGGCCCCAGCCTGGCTGGCCGCCAACCAGAACTCTCCCCACTCCTCCTCCTCTGGGTCTTTGGTTCACTTGCACACTGTGCTCAGTGCTGGAACATTCCTCCTCTGTCTGTGGCTAATGTAGGTTCTTCTGTGGCCTTTTACTTCACAGGCATCTTTCCTTATGGCCCCAGCCCCAGCTGCAGCCACATCTAAATGAGAGATTCCTGCCATGGGCTGTAGCTGTGCCTCTTCTGTCCCCAGAGCAAGGGTTCCTATATGAGGCAGTGATTTCCCAGGTCTCCCAGGCTCCTTGTGAGAGGGCATCTCTCGTGAGAGTTGCCCTCTCTGGCTCCCCACCATATCCTTTTGCGTACTGTGCTACCATATTTACAAACGATTTCATTTATTTGACAAATATTTACAGAGTCCTACTTCAGGCTGGGACTTCTCTCAGGAAAGGGGATAAATGAATTAATGACAGTCCCAAATCCTGCCCTCATGGAGCTTGAGTTCCAGCGGGAAGGACTAGATAATCAGTAGTCACTAATGAAAGGACTGAGTGTATGGTGTGTTAGAGGGCCTTCCAGACCATGGGAGGAAAGTGGAGCATAATAAAGTAATGATAGTTGGTTTATTTTGGGGGGGGAGGGAGGGAAGGGGTTCAGGCTACAGTTCAGACAGGGTGGATGGGGCTAGTCTTACGGGGCTGGTGATGTCTGAAGATGGAGAGGGAGCACATTATGGTAACAACTGGGAGAAGCATCTATGCTGAGGGACTAGCCAGTGAAAAGGCAGAAGCATGTGGATGGGTTCTTGAGATGACATGGTAGATGGCTGCTGGAGTGTATCTAGGAGATGAGGTCCAGAGCAGGGGCAGAACAGGAGGAACACACAGACTACTGCAGAGATTGGCTCTTACCCTGAGAAAATGGGGACTGCAGGCAGGGTCCAGAACAGGGATATGGCCTCCTTTGCCCAATCCAGGCTTTCTGAATGGATAAACATCTAAATACCATGGCAGAGGAAACCCTGGGGAAGATTGTGTGGTGCCTGGGGAGATACCTGATTCCATCCGGGTGACTGGGGAAGTTTCTCAAAGTAGGCAACATTGAGCCATGATCAAGTTGTAGGAAGCCAGGGGAGGAAGAACCTGGAAGAGCTCAGAAGTACTAAGGGATAAGCTGTAAATTCCACAGGCCTGGGGTGGGGGCATGGGCTCTGAGAAGGCCACCAGAGGGCAGGTCTTAAAGGGTCATTGAGTGCTGGGTGGAGTGTCTTGGAATTTGTTGGAGATCAATGAGGAGGCATGGTAAAGTCTGGGCAAGGTCAAGCCAGACTTAACCCTTTGGGGCCTTACTCAGGGTCTTGCTAGCCTGTCTGTAGTCTTTGCTCTAGGATTTGTATCAAAGCAGAAGGTCCTGAGACAGGCTCAAGGCCAAGTTCATAGTAACTAGGTTATCCCTTCTGTGGGCCTTCTGGTTCAAGTTGCTGTTCTTGATGTTTTAACAGCAGTAAGCTGCACAGCTTTGAGCAAGTAAGGCTGTTGTCTTCTGTGAACCGTAGTTTCCCCCTCTATAGAGGCGACGACAGTAGCTTCTACAGCTTATCATAGCTGGAGAGAAAGCTGCTCTATGCCCACTATACAGTAGGCATCTGGTAAATCCAGATGGATCGTGTGGGTCTACCTCCAGGTCTTTGAGGCTGGTGATGCAGTGGCCATCAGGGCAGGAAGAGAGGAGGGCCTCACCTGGGATGTGTCATGGTTGAAGATGACTGCATTGAGGTCCCCACAGTTGTAGTGTTTGATGAGGTCCTCTGTGGTGTAGGGTGCCTGCAGGCTCCCAGCCCGCACACTTTCATGCTGCAGCAGAGTCTGGTTCAGGGCAAACAGCACCTGGCCAAGGAAAGAGAAGGGCATCAGGGATGTGCTCAAGGACTGCTTGGCCTCTGGGAGTGGCCCTCCAGCCTCTGGACGTTGGGGCTATAGGCATGAAACAGAAGGTGCACGACACAGCAAAGCATCTGAGTTTGGAGTCTGGGGTGAGTCTTCCTCTTGGCTCCTTTGTTCTGCTTTGCTTACCAGTATTCTAAAACAAGGAAACCCATTCTACAACCAAGAGCACCCCCAAACGCAGTCAAGGCAATGAATGATATAAAACAAAGCTCAGTTCTGTGTGCAGGCCCAGAGGCTTCAGGAGCTGGATCCTTGGAGCCCACCTTCCCAAGCGTTCAGTAAGTGCACCCTCCTACTGTTCTCTGGGCTACTGGCTCCAGGGATGCAGTTTCCAGGCATCAGGGTCACTTGGACTACTGTACAGAAGTCCCCCTCCCCCCAGAATCAGAATGATTCCCAGGCACTTTCTAAGCAGCTTATGACATTTGAAGTTCATGGCTCCCATGAGCACAGGGGTCTTAGACACAGGCCCCGGGAGACTACCCACTTCGGCCTTCCCATTTTATTTTGTTTACTTGAGACAGGTTCTCATTATGTAGCCTCAGCTGCCTTGAACTCACAGTCCTCCTGTCTTACCTCCCAAGTGTTGGCATTATAGGCACAGACTCCCACACTGGGCAGCAACCTCAAGTTTAGACTGGGAAACTGAGGCCCAGGGCATGGATGGCACTTTACCCACATAGCTTGCGCTGGAGTCTGTATCACAAGGTCTGGTATCCCAGACTCTTTTGGCCAACCAAGGGACTTTGTTGACTGCACCCATTCCGATGCTAGACTTGCTTCAGCAAACGGGAAATGGCAGTAAACATTACACAGGAAGACCTGAAATGCACCTGGGTGCTGTGGCTGTTCCCTCTTCACATAGTCTTTGCCTTTGACTCCACTCTGTGGGAGGGTGAGAGACACACAGAGCAAAACTTACACAGTCAGTGACACTCAGACTAGTGGACAGACAGCCAACTTCTAGACATGTGAGACTAGCAAGATCAGTGGAGCCTACCAGCAACTGGCCCTGGCTACCTGAGCACAGCATGCTGTTGTTACACAGCATAGTCTCAGTGACAGATGACTGGTAGACCACGCTTCCTTCCACCAATGTGTGCATACTAGCTTTCACTGTGTTTAGCTGCCAGCCTTACATAAATAGGCCGAGTTTCCTGAAGTCAGGAAGTCTATCTTCCTGGCGCTTGAATCTGCAGCTCTCAGCACTGTGCGTGGGGAAGAGAAGGCAGTGTGATCTGCTTCTCTTTAGGACCTGGGGACCTGCTGTTTCCTTTATAGTTAAAGGTGTTTTATAAGCACTTAAGAAAAATATCTAGAAGGTTGGCGGACATTCCTACCAAGACATATAATCTGAATAAAAAGCTTTTGAAATAGGTGTACAGGGCCAGGTCAACAGGCAATAAGACCATGCTTCTGTTCCCTCCGTGTTTGTTAATGGCAGGAGAATTGGATTGCACAAACTGTAGCAGCCCCCACTGTTCCCTTTAATGAGAGGGTTGGAGGTGAGGTCAGACCCCTCGCCCCATGCCTGGGCCTTCTCCAGGCCCCTGGGCTTTGGCTGCCACCACTGAAATCAGATCTGCAGCCATCTGGTGCAGAGTGTCGATGGCAGCGTGGTGGCTGGGGATGAATTACAGGAGGCAGTGACGTTTTCTGCTGTGGACATTGCTAAGGCAACAAGCACTTCCTCCTATAGGGTGCATGCCGCCGATGTAAGTGTCCGTGTCGAGCTGCTCCACTCTTCTCCTCTGAGGGCCCAAGACAGAGGGACTTCCTGTGGCCACACCCAGCTGCTGCACACACCTGCTCTGTTGCTTCTTAGATCAGCCTGGCCAAGGCACCACCTGACCTGGTGTGAGGTCATCTGCCTGGGCACCAGAAGACCTGGCTGGAGGGTAAATGTCTCCCTTGGACCCTGCTTGACTCATGAAGTCAGGTCTGCAATGACGTGGCCTTCATGAAGTCAGGAGGTATTCCAGGGGATTAAGTATATTCCCAGATGCAGGGTGTTAAGCACAGTCCTGGCATGAAATGAGTGCTGAGTATGTGTTCATTACATAAAACTTAGGAGGAAATAGCGCCCAGTCTTCCCAGCTTGATGTTGGGAGAGAGACAGTCCCTAGAATTCTTCTGGTGCAGAAGTTTCAAAGTACTTTTAGCTGTAGAATTCTTTTGTCGTTGTTATTGTTGCTGTTGTTGTCTTCTAAAGGAATTTTACTTGGAGTCTTGAACATGGAACAGATAAAAATAGTTAAGGTCCTGGTTGATATGAGGGAGGCTGAGTGGGATGCCCTCTTGCTCCAGGGATTTCCACAGGGACCCTGGAGCCCAGTTAAGGACCCTGATTTCATTTTGTGCATTCATAATGTAAAAGAAGAGAGGGGACAGCATCCCAGGCAGGTAGGATGGGGTGTGCATGAGTCCATACAGGGAGCTGGGCAGAAGGGGCTCCACCCAAGGATCCTGACTCCTAGCGTTAGGTCACCAGGCTGATGACGCAGGACCTTCTGAAGTCTACTGGCACAGCCACACCCCTTGTTTCTCTGGATTACTGTAAAGCAGCCAGGGGTGTTTGCTGTTGGAGTGTTGCAGACAGGAAGCTAAGGCCCACAAGGCCATTTGAGAGTTTGAGCTCCCTGCATGTCTCAGCTGGTTTGTGACATTAACTGTATCCTGGTGGGATCTGGTACCTCCCACAGACTCCCTGTGCACAGACCACTTTGGAGGCACATGCGTGTCCTGGAATTGATTCAGCACTCTGTCTTTTTGTTTGCTGCTGAACCCCAATGTCACAAACATCAGACACCTCAGGAAACATTGCAAAAGGAAGGTGCTGACCCTGAATCATGTGCCCCACCTCCACCACCACTTCCTGCTCCATACCTACTCTACTCTTTGTAACTCATAAAGGAGTCATCACCCCATTCATACTAGGACCCCTGGTTTTATTGAGCACTTACTATGCACCATAAACTTCCTAAGTGGACTCATTATTTAATCTTTACAGCAGCTCCCAGGTAAAATCAAGATGAAAAACCCACAGCAAAGAGACATAAAATACCTTCCCAAGGTGAGAAGGCTAGTGAGATGTGAGATGGACATTTGGCACACTTCCTTAGCCAGTCAGCCGCTCACAGGGGCCTCCCTCTGCTCTGCTGAGGAGAGAGACAGCAGGGACGCACAGATGGGGCACAACAGAATCAGAGGGAATGATAGGCTGCACTGCTCAAGAAAAGTAGAGTTGAAGTAGAATTCCAGAGCACTGGCTTACTACAAGCAGGCCTTTAGGCTCTGTGTCCTCTTTTGTGAGCATTTTTGGTGCTTCCAACAAGCAGGGGGAAGCTACAGCCCCACCTCCTCCCCCCCCCCCCTTCCCGTCCGTCCTTCATCAAACAAAGGCTTTCCACAGCTTCTCAGCAGGGGCTTGAATTTGATACAGAAATATGACTTGGTTTCTAAGCACATGGAACTCATGGAGGAGGCAGACGCGCCACTGACCTTCACGCCAGGGTGACAGAGGCACACGCTTTGCTTTAGAATGAAGTACTGCCCTGACTTCTGCTTCCCTCTCCAGCCCCCAGAATCCCCCAGGCCTCTGGGCATTCTACTCCAGGCCACCTTAGAACAACAAACCTCCCTTGCAAGGAGCCTCGGTGGCCCACACTAGGATAATGTTTATGATAAGGCTACGACATGGAATAACAAACACTAGCTGAAGAGTGGAGGAAGGCCTCGCTCCCCTGGATGCCTGTGTGGAGTCCTGGCCACAGGGAACCCTGGTCACCAAGAAACCCTGTGCATCCTCTACTGCCCCCCCGTCGCTAGGGCTTGTGGGGCACAAGGCGGCTGGAGGCATGTGTTGAGTATAGCCTTGGAATCTAAATAGGTCTTTAAACAGAGACCTAAGGCAGAGAGTGGCAGGCACCAGGAGGCTGGAAACAGGCTTGTTGTCCCAGAACAGTCCAGTAAATAATCCTAGACAGACTAGAATGCTTGACTTGAGGCCTATACTCACTTGGTTGCCCATGCCACCTAGAGGGAAGATTTGAACCCAGGGCTCTTGGGACAGGCCTGGCTCTCAGGTTAAGGGGTCTGGAATGACCAGTGAGGACTTCTACCAAGATGGGAGCCCAGAATGACAGCTAAATCACTGACAGCAGGTTGACGGTGTTCACTGAGTACCTTCTAGGTGCCAGTGCACCAGACAAGGTCAGCACTGACAAAAGCCTCCCTCTCACCCAGCGTACCTGCCAAGTGTACACAGAAGGGACACTACCATCAGTGAAACAGCACAGTGGTGATCCAGTGCTGATCCTGCTCAACTGGCAGTGAAGCTGTCTCCCTGCTACTATGGGTCCATACACCTCTACAACCACAGGCGAAGAGGGTGGAACCGCCAGTTGCTGCTGGGGGCTGGGCTCTGAACACTTCCCCGCAGTGGGGGTGAAAAGAATGTGTAGAACACAGAGTGTCTTTTAGGGTGACTCCATGTTCCCATGCCCTGTGATTAGAGTCATTGGAAAATGACAGCACTTGTGCTCAGGCAGATTCCTGAATTAAGCCCAAGGATGGAGCTTTAGGTCCCAGCCAAGTTCTGAACCTTGGAAGCTGAGGTTCTTGCTGAGGCAAAGGAAGTACAGAATGGATGATAGAGGAGTAGGTGGGAAGTACCAGAAACTATCATGTGTGGTCATTCATAAGACATGGAGAATGCACTAGCTACAAATACTTATTTTTGAGACAGCATCTTATGTAGCTCAGGCTAGCCTTGAACTTACTATATAGCTGAGGATGACCTCAAACTTCTGATCCTCCTTCCTTCACTTCCAAAATGCTGAAAGTACAGGTATGTGCCACCATTCCCAGTTTATGTGGATGCTAAGCCAATGTCCTCAGCTCTGACTATGTTTATTTTGTGTGTGAGGGTAAGTGTGGAG